CCAGCAGGGTGAACATTAACCACGCCACCACATTTATGGCGGCAGGTAAGCCCAACAAGTCTCGTAGTAGACGCAACTCACGCTCCCTACTTGAAGCTTAGTCAGCGGTATACCCTTGGTGTTCATCGAATTTTGTGAAGTATCATAAGTGTGAGAAGCGCGCCTAGCAAAACATTAAAGGGCCTCATGAGTACAATGTCGAGATCTCTTTGTAAATGCCTATACCCCGTGCCCTCTCCACGCATTTCCATCATTCATATCACTTTCCGGAATTCTCAGGCAACTAACTCAGTCTCCCATACCGCTTTCTCTTCCCCACCGCATTAGCGGGATATCACAATGAACTACGCCGACTCATTCTCTGCAGCGAAATACATTCTGTGTTTTTAAGCAAGATTTGTGAACCACGGTTTCATATCACCCGGAAATACAAGGGTCAGAAGATGAAATTTCACCTGACCGCAAGTTCCAGGATTAACTAGCCTGAAATTCAAAATGGCTGCCTAACCTCGAGAGATCGCTTGGAGACATGGAGTGAACAACTGAATTCTCTTACCCTTTGACAACCCTTCAGTTCTTGCAGGATGAAAGTGAGAACGCAGCAAAACAAACCATATTTTCCCGCCTATAGCTGTGAATCGACACAAGGATCATGTTTGTACAAGCGCCACGCATTCATTAGGTCGCGTACGATAAACATTATCACTGAAACATTGGTCAGGAGTCACGGGACATTGTACTTACTGACAAAAAGGTTGGGTGACCTCCGATTTGGTGCACGGGGTTTTGAGATCCGCTGCACTGGCTCTAAAGAAGCTGGATTACCGACTGAAAAAGGTTTTATTGGCTTCTCTGGACACAGTAGCCCGTCAAAAAACCTCTCTGGTTGCCAGAGTTGGACTGTTTTTATTTTAAGCCTCCTAAAATCAGGAGAACCCTGGGTGGTTTAGGCCCAAATAAGTTGCCAGCACCCGTTGGTGTTTGCCTTAAAGTACTCAGTGTCTCAGCGCTCTATGCATCAAACTGGCAAACCCTTTCAACTTTTTGTTTCTGTAAAGCAGGTTGGCCTCCTATTCGAAAGGAATACCAGCCACCACAGTACATTAGGGTCGGAATAAATTCATAATCTCCAAGTGTGAACCAACCTACCTTATCCCTTGGGTTGCTGATGTTGTGAGAAGTGTAACTAGCAGTTCACTTAGTGGTTGTTGACTGGGGAGCCTAATCCTAAGCCGCTCTCAACATGGATTTTTTATCTGACAGGTTGTGGGACATTAGTTGCTAATACCCCAGGACAGCTGGACCCTATATGGTAGGCAGAAAGCGTCTATTCATGCCGTGTTGCCTGTCCGAGGCAGTTGATAGGGTTAGTCATAGTATGCTGTGTAGGAAATTTCAACGTAATAGAGTAAGCGTAAAGTCGCTCAATCGGTTTAGGGGTTACTTTGACACTTAGCTCCAACCAGTTAGAACTGGATCATCTGCTTCCAATCAGTTACTTACACCAGGTGGGTGTCCCAGGTTCCATTCTTGATCCATGACTGCTTCCAACCTTTATAAATGGCCTGCCAACAAAACTGAACTATCATTCACTGCTAGGCGCGGATGATCTGACTGTGAGAAAATAAAGGCTGGTACCACCAGATATCCCCGTCAGTCACAAAGACCTGTATAAAATCCTGAACTGGATGGATGAAAACTTGTCCCTCTCAACGCGGAAAAGTGACGAGTAATGACAGCAGACAAATATGGACGTAATTCTAGTTGTTACTCACTGAACAAACGGATGTCTCACTCAAACAATCAGAGGAATCTAGATAGATGTTATCCTGGGTGGTACACCTGAGGCTTTCTGGTTGAGAGTTATGAGGTTCATTCCTCCAACTCAGGCGATGCTAACCCAGGACCTATGCACTACAGCATACGGGCCGCATGCTTGTCCACGTCTAGAGAAAAACTCCGGTTATATTCTCGCACTTGGGGGACAGTGCCGTATGAGAATAGGTCAACAGAGCAGATACGAAAACGTAATTGGTCTACAGCGCTAACGTTACCTGGATAGGCCAGTCGTTATTAGGCTGTAACGTGTACACTACAGAAGAATCAGAGGAGACATGATTAAACCGCATCATATCGCGCGTAATCACCTTCGTCCCGACGGATCGCTCACAAGCTTAACCGGAAACTGTACCTTAGAGGTTCACGAGTGAAGCGAGAACACTCACATAGATATTTCTAACTCTTTTTCAGTAAGAATATGTGAAGTATGGACTCCTCACATGTTCTTCTGATCCTTTCAGAAGGTTAGATGCTCACTTAAAGTCACGTTGTGCATGTGGGATGCAGTGAATAAGATTTCCTTATTCTTACGGATCTCGAGTTACAACACTCCCAGTGGAAAGCTGGTTTGTTTGTGAAAGGCTGATCAACTCACAGTTGCCAGCCATGTGCAGGTTACTGGGCTCCTGTACCCAACTCACTAATACCGTAACTTCATGTTTGCACTGAAAGCGAAAGACGAAAAAGAAAAAGACTGGGTAGTGAAAGGTGCTCTTAGAAGCAGCTCACTTGCCAATCAGAAGTAAGCAATTTATTGTGGGGGAAAATGTAAAATTATATCTATCCATGAATGGTTGGAATAGGGACTCTGAGTGTGTGGCTGTTGATTATCACGAAGAGGATGCTAGGAGTAATGACTGCCGACGGTTGGATCCCGACGTGCTAGAGCAACTCACAAGACTCAGGATGCCCACTAGTGCTGTAGAGAATTGTTTATATAGTTAGATACTTTAAATGTTTCTAAAATTTATTTTGACACTAGCGGAGTTGGTGCCGAGGTGTGCCTTGAGTGGATAATTGGTTGTCTGTCACTTTAGGTTTTTCAGAATTAGGAGAGGAAGCTTTGCGAGTTTTGCGTAGCTCCAATAAGAATCTCTAGGGAACCCCCAGGATTTAGAAAAAAGATTTAGTGGGATGGACATCGAAGGATGTTAAGGTTCGAGGTGCTTCATCGGTAAAATTGTTTCAGGCTTCACCTTTATGGTCCTTCTCTAACCGCCTTGTGACCCTGCTCATCAACATTCCAGTTTCAATCCCCAAGTTGCTGTGACAGATCACTTCATCGGTTATCTCTTGTTTCCAGATATAAGCATATTCTGAGCGTACTAAATAGCCAGCTGACGTTATTCTCTTCTCTTCCTTTTCAGATTGGCGTACCGATTTAGTGAACTGTTACCGCTAGGGACCCACACCGTCTTCTCACAACCCTTTTCTAGCAACAATGAACGTACAGAATGGTACGATACTGCTGACAGATGCTCGTTAAGATTCAAACACAAACTGAGTGTCCACCGACGTTCAAAGTGTGAGCTTGCAGGCTAATTGGCAACTCATAAGTCACTAACAACTTAGCCTTCTCTTTTGTTTTTGTGTTTTCATGCGTATATGCTCAGACGCAGAAACGAGTAGTCCACTGATTGTAGACGCAGGAGCCAGCTATTCGCCGCAGCACATAGACCTCGCGTTCATCACCTTGGAAAACTCTCTCATGAGGTCCCCATACTTGAAGAAGGACATTAGCATCCCAGGACAGGTTCAAAGAAGAGCTACTTTCGAGCTCTAACCGGTACCGTACCCGAGAATCAGAGAAGACTTGTATAACAGACTCAAAGCATTGTTATGTAAACCAAACCATTAGGTTAATGATAATTATTTAAAATGGGCGCAACGATACACAAGTATGCAAAGTTGTGCATTATAACACTAAATATTGCTGCTATTGTTGTGAATAATCACTGGTTATTTGGATGCTATCTCTTCCGTGCTGTTGACTACCGTTTTGCTACTCTCCAATGTGAGTTCGGAAGGCGATGCTTGTTAGGCCACCTAGAGTTGCCGCTGTTTGGCTTGACTGGAGGTAGAATGAGAGATCCTGTAAAATTAGGGGACAGTCAAAGAGTACTGATGTCACATAGTAGTTAGCGAAGGCGGGAGTTGGAGTAGACATTTGGCGGTTGTCCTTATGCGAACCTGACAGATGCAGGGGCCAGTCGCTAGTTATGCTCGCTGTTGTATACCCACGAGTACTAGACCAACGAAGACACAATAGCGTAGTCGGATGGAATAGTATATTTGTGAGGTCGTGCCAAAATACAGATGCTTTCTAACTAGCTGGCTAGAGAATCGATTACGAGCAGTACAGCGTGACAGCAGCGTGTTGAATAGTGTGGATGCTTGACCGTGTGCCTTCGGCTCATCCAGTCTCATGAAACTGAGAAAGTCGGCATCAAAGCTGAATCTCATCGAACCCTAGGTTATTTATTCTGGCGAAGCGTGTGATACCACAGAGAGGACCCCATATTTCACGGCTCGCAATGCACAGCCAGTGAAATCGCCACCAGAACCACAGTTCCAGTTTCAAATTGTACACATTAGAATAATGTTCGAAGTATGCTAAAGACCGATAAAAAGTAAACATTATTTTTAATTTAAATGATTTACAAATACTTCCACGTGTTCTTCACACATAATCATAATCTACCAAGCTGCCCATAATCCCCTTCATCCTAACAGATTCCTCTCAAGTCGTAATTGGGAATACCACTTTAGAGACCACCAGTTAGGGGTAGAGTATAAGTGAGCTTATTCTTTTATAGTTAAGGCATGTAAACTGTGGAACTCCTTGCATAAGTTATCACAACACCTTCTTCTGATACTCTCCAGAGGAGACTAAACGTGCATTACGGATCTTCTGGTACCAATGGGCTGTATTCAAGAAGCTTTCCGTTATCGACAGATCAGGGGGGAAATCCCTACTGTCGGAGTGTTGATTAGTCAGTAATTGATTATCCCTTTCCTTTCAGGTTTGTCGGAACTGAGCAAACAACTGTGACCATTCCAAACAGAGAATGGGTTCCGGTAAGACAGGAGTAGAACTCAAGGAAGATCGTCCACTAACTGTAGAACACGAAGTTCGAAGTTTGAAGCCATTGAAAGTCGTTGGCATTTGGGAGGGCTTTACAAGGAAGTAAGCGTGCTTCGTATGTGACTACCAATTGTTAAAAATGTCAACTAGAATTGTCTATTATATAAAAAGGTCACCTTCCCAGTTATATTAAAAATATTGTTGATTACTCTTCAGTATTTGATGGGCTAGCCTTTAAACTTACTCTGTTTCGCATGCACATGCACGTGCTTTTGTTTAGCATACTCCCTTGCGACTGTAGCTTTTTAAGTTGTTGCAAACACTAATTGACATTCACATTTTAGTATCGTCCGGGGTTTTCCACACTCCTTGACAAGTGTCACAATGTCTTCAGTTTTCTCAACCAACGTTTTCGTATATAAAAGTTCCCTTAACGGTTATTGTTGCTGAGCTGAAACTTCCCCCTTTTCCCCTACAGTGTTTCCTTAAAACCCAATTTCCCATATTCTCTCCTCTCTCTATGCTCTTTGTAAACAGCGTCCCCATCATGGTCTACATTTCAACCTCATTTCCCATTTCCCCCTTTTCATTAGACTCGTTTCTAAACCTTAGAATACAATCGTTTACGAATTTGTCTGTGCAGATGTCTTGAGTAGTCTATGTATTGCTCTATCCCAGCCAGCCTTTACTTTGGGCGCACTTTATACTCTTTGGGAAAAAGTCCGTGCTGAAATGGCGAGACGCACGATATTTTCCGAAATTTCCAAGCTTTCCCCCCGAAAATGTCAAGTTTCAGAGTGCGCCCAAAAACCCGAAACTTGGCTAATTCGCCCGAAGTAGGTTCGGGCTAAAACCCGAAGTTTACAAAGTGCACCCGAAATAAATGCTGGCTGGGATTAGGCTGTTCAAGACTACTAAGTTCAAAGTAAGAGTTACTTAGGTAGCTATATGAAGACATTCAATAAGAAAACGAGAAGTCAAGTGCAATTGTCTGCTCTTTCAAACCAACAGACTCATTTTAATCCTTTGCAATAACCAGCCTAAGGTTATATAACTTGGTAAGTTATGGATTACAGATGATTGGTAAAGACCTTGAGTTCATGTAGGGAGGTATCTAAGTTTATATGAACGTGATACGAATTCAAGGAGCAGATAGCATTCATCACTTTCGCGCAGCATCTATGTTACCCAGGTTTGTACTTATGGTTACAGCAAGTCTCCCTATGTGTGGAGGTGGTTCAGCCTGTCACGAGTCACTCACTTCTGGAGGATTTTGTAGGCAGACGGTATCCGATGTTAGGCGTTTTGAGATTCCAGAATCTAAACACTAATAGTAGTTCTTCCAGGATTTTACTTCCATTTTTCTCAGAACTGAATCTCAGTGGTATAAAAGTAGTGCTTAGGTTTTCAAGTCATTGAATTAACTAAAGTAACGAGTGTTTTCTCTTACTCTTCATGCCACTAATCTAACTTCTGGGACGTCAGTTGTCATCTTTCTCAGTGGAGGGATGTCTCTCTTCTCGAACTATTCGCTTACAATTCTACCGCGTTTCCGTACAGATCTTTCACTGCGATTTGAGGCACTCAGGAAACATCAATAAAGTATCCTAGTGCTCTGACAAATGGTGGTGATATGAAGTGTGTATCTAAACAGGAAATAGCCAAGCATTTATATAAACATGCCAACAGTCCTTTTCTGATGAAGCCTGATGTAGTATTAAGTCTCACCCGAATTGATCAGTTCAGCCAGTTTCATTTAAGGTGACTCCAACCAAACTGAGAAGTGGGAGCGACCTAGATGTTAGTTGACCAGAGTTTTCTCATGATTAGCGGCTAGAATATGTCCTAAACATTTTAGAGAACATTCCAACTGACCTACTGTTTCAGTCCACCAGGATGGGATTGAGTAGGAAGCAGGTTTCAATCCTTCAAGTCTCAAAGTTAAGGACATTTTGAAGCCTGAAACCATGCAGAGCAGCAGGGTCTTACAGATCACCACCAGAAATCTTGAAAGAAGGATATCGGAAGTTACTTAACGTAGTAACCAAAATATGAGCTAGTGTATGACAGCCAAAGTTATTTCTGTCAGCCTGCTCCAGGCCGTTAATTATTCCAGTTTATACGAAAGGAAAGAAGACTTTCTGTGATAACTTTAGGGGACTTGGTCTGACTACCATCTTGTTGAAAATCTTAAGGTCTATGGTTATGTGATGCCTAGTTTGAACTGTAGAAAACCCTCGAGGCAAAGGTGGATCAATCAGATCACTTCTCGACAAGTTTCAGAAAACTGGCTTGCTTACCATGTTTCTTGACGCGAAGGCAGCATTCAACTATCCACCGGGAGGTATTGTAATAGCGTGTGACCACAAAAGTAGTGCTGAATATGGAGTGTTAATCTAGGTTCTCTACTCGAACTCGAACTACTGTTTGAAAGCCAATTGTTCAAGCCAGTAACCCACAACTCCACATAGTGTTAGTCTTTATAGTAGTAAGTGTAGTTCCACTACGTAGTAAATAATCACGTAGATGGTTGTCGGACTGCACTACTGGTTTTTACCGAAGACAGCTTTGCACACAACCTCAAAAATTTTAAGCTTTGTTGGTCATCTTTTTGGAAAGCCTAGTTGTCACTAATTTCAGACGCGAACATAACCTATGTGAACTACTGAAGTCTTACGACCCGTTTTATTGATAGTTATGTGTTGGAAAATGTTACAAGTGTTATTCGTTTCGGTGTGTTTTTCGGACATGGTCTCTATCTTGTTAAGTTTCGAGGGAAATTTCCGCCTAACTTACTGCATTGGAAAGCTCAGAGCATTTGGTATAACGTCCTCTTCTCTTTTATAAACCCGCATTTTGCCTATCCATTTCCCCCTGTATATTTTCCTGGGTTGCTAACCAAAAAAATATACTGTATTACTTATAACTTTAAAGTTTGTCAGCAAAACTAGTTATGTACTGCTAACCTTTCTAATTGACACTTGTGAACAGACATCTTAACCCGTGTAAACAATTGGAAGGAGGTATTTTGTCAGATGACCAGCATCCTCTTCACTCAAAGCTTTCTACGTGTCGGTCCTCAAGCAAGACCGGGAGCAAATATATGACTCTATGTACGTAATTGTAAATATTTAAACTCTACCTTATTTAAAGCCTTTCCTGTGCGTGGAAGAAAATGCTAGAAATGAACTAACTAATCAACTTTTTTTAAAGAAAGCTAATTTAAGATTGTGCATCTTGCTGTTATCTATGTATTACGAATCTAGTTGCTAGTGTGGTTGTGTACCTAAGTTGACTCTGCATTTTTAAAAAAGTTGTAGGTATATATATATATATATATATATATATATATATATATATTATATATATATATGCATTTAAACTGTTTCTGTCGAATTGATACTATTTGACATGCGTAAATCCTGCAAAGTATTCCCTAAATATCTTTCAGAATAAAGTCATTATTACGCTCCGTTGCACTTTATCTGAAGTAGTTTCAGACCGGTGAAAGGTTAGGGTGGCTCATACCAGAACATGTCATCAGTCCCTGAAGTCATTGATTGTAGATCTGAGCCATGTAGGGAAACATATACTTCTTGCTTAGAGTCCAGCAAAAACCAGTGTTTGCAGACTGAGTGAAATAACTCAGAATCGATGTCACTGGCGCAGATGTATCCACACATTATCTTCATCCTTTCATCATACTGAATTTTAGTGTTTGCTCATTCCAACTTACCCTTTGCTGATAACTCTCTTCCACTTTGACTGGTTTCTTTTTTATTTTTTAAACTGTCATCTCAGTGCCTTCTACCGTGATGTGTTGATATAAGATATGGCAACTTAGGTCGTTATACAATAATGCTAGGTGATATGTGGATATTGTCTTCCTGGGTTCAAACCCATGACCCAGTGGTCAGTAGTCACATCCCTTACTCTGCGATCCAAAGCTCCACTCATATCTACGGATAACTGATGGCTTTATTCTGCATAATTATGAGTTCGGGGCTCATTTGTTTAGGGAATGAACTAACGACAAGTGGATTATGGTTTCTAAGCTTTCATTTACCCAGGGTTGGGCAGGCAAATGGTATCAACAGCCCTCTTATTATGTATTGTCCATTGCCTGGCTATGGAAGTACAAGTGGTAGCTAACCTATATTTTTTTGCTGTTTATATTCTAATGCATATACTTGCTTGAGGTTACAAAAGTGCATTTGTGTTCAAGCTTTTTTATAGCATACTATTTAGAAACTGATAGACAACAGAGTTGTAGAGTTATTTGATCACAACATTCAGCTGATTATGGCAGAATCTACCTTATTTGCTTCATACGACTCTCCTAAAATAATCAGTACGAATTGTTGGTCTACAAAATTATAGTCTTTCATATTTGCATTGGTGGCACATAATATGTCAAGTGGTCTACGGGTTCATATGTTTGATAAATACTCAGCTTGCACATTAGAAAGTTAGAAGTAGACAAATCTAATGCACCATGACCTTCAACCAACCAAAGGTTATCGAGTCATTTCTTTAGAGACGAAAATATTCTTTGCGTCAGTACCCGTTTATTTCCACTTTATTTCTTGGTAAAATAAAACTCCCACCATAGTAAGCTGTATCCTTTGTCAAGCGTCATAAGTATAACACACCTACCCATTGATATGAAGTGGGACTACTTCCCTCTGAAGATTCTTACCAAGTTAGAATGCTAAATTGTAAATCCAATTAGAGATTGCACATTCACAATGTGAACGGTCTTTTTCTGAAAGTGAAATCACGCATCACGGGGTTGAAAATCATACAAATCCTGGTATTGATTCTACTACATATCTAACTGTTACTTTTAATCCGAATTATTCTAGATGATACAATCTGTTAACAATCAGGCAAATTAAGTAAAGCCCATTGAAACCTCAAAGATACCTAATACCGCATTCCTAATCAAACAACGTGACATAAAAAAATGCACGCAACTGCGCAAATTGAGAAAATCAAGCACCTGAATGCAGAATCAGCGATATCGAAGCCAAAAAATCCGAAACCAGACACAAATACCTTCCTAAAAAACAAAAACACGCGGAAAGAACACACATCAGGAGAATCAATAAAACGCGCTAAAATCCGAAACAAAACACATCAAAGTAAATCCTATCAGAAAGGTGTAAAAAATTACGTCAACCAAATTACTGCACCCACCCCTGGGGTCTCAACAACCATACATCAACAGACAACACCGAAAACGACACAGAGGAACAACCTGAAAATGACGACATCGAGTTCGGATTCAGACTCTAGTGAGGATGAGCAGCCGGTGAGCAAGAAGCCTGCATTGGTGAAGGCGTCTCCAGCAGTTGGTAAGACGACAGTCGGTGTGGTTGGTGGTAAGAAGGTTGTTGGTAAGCCGGAGTCGTCTAGTTCCGACTCGGATTCTAGTGATGATGGAGATGCTGGTGTTGTGAAGAAGGGTGTTGCTGCTGTTGGTAGGCCGTTGTCGGGTGTGGGTCAGCAGACGACACCTCAGTCGTCAGTGCAGAAGAAGAAGGTGGGAGCGGTGGCGTCGAGTTCGGACTCAGACTCTAGTGAGGATGAGCAGCCGGTGAGCAAGAAGCCTGCATTGGTGAAGGCGTCTCCAGCAGTTGGTAAGACGACAGTCGGTGTGGTTGGTGGTAAGAAGGTTGTTGGTAAGCCGGAGTCGTCTAGTTCCGACTCGGATTCTAGTGATGATGGAGATGCTGGTGTTGTGAAGAAGGGTGTTGCTGCTGTTGGTAGGCCGTTGTCGGGTGTGGGTCAGCAGACGACACCTCAGTCGTCAGTGCAGAAGAAGAAGGTGGGAGCGGTGGCGTCGAGTTCGGACTCAGACTCTAGTGAGGATGAGCAGCCGGTGAGCAAGAAGCCTGCATTGGTGAAGGCGTCTCCAGCAGTTGGTAAGACGACAGTCGGTGTGGTTGGTGGTAAGAAGGTTGTTGGTAAGCCGGAGTCGTCTAGTTCCGACTCGGATTCTAGTGATGATGGAGATGCTGGTGTTGTGAAGAAGGGTGTTGCTGCTGTTGGTAGGCCGTTGTCGGGTGTGGGTCAGCAGACGACACCTCAGTCGTCAGTGCAGAAGAAGAAGGTGGGAGCGGTGGCGTCGAGTTCGGACTCAGACTCTAGTGAGGATGAGCAGCCGGTGAGCAAGAAGCCTGCATTGGTGAAGGCGTCTCCAGCAGTTGGTAAGACGACAGTCGGTGTGGTTGGTGGTAAGAAGGTTGTTGGTAAGCCGGAGTCGTCTAGTTCCGACTCGGATTCTAGTGATGATGGAGATGCTGGTGTTGTGAAGAAGGGTGTTGCTGCTGTTGGTAGGCCGTTGTCGGGTGTGGGTCAGCAGACGACACCTCAGTCGTCAGTGCAGAAGAAGAAGGTGGGAGCGGTGGCGTCGAGTTCGGACTCAGACTCTAGTGAGGATGAGCAGCCGGTGAGCAAGAAGCCTGCATTGGTGAAGGCGTCTCCAGCAGTTGGTAAGACGACAGTCGGTGTGGTTGGTGGTAAGAAGGTTGTTGGTAAGCCGGAGTCGTCTAGTTCCGACTCGGATTCTAGTGATGATGGAGATGCTGGTGTTGTGAAGAAGGGTGTTGCTGCTGTTGGTAGGCCGTTGTCGGGTGTGGGTCAGCAGACGACACCTCAGTCGTCAGTGCAGAAGAAGAAGGTGGGAGCGGTGGCGTCGAGTTCGGACTCAGACTCTAGTGAGGATGAGCAGCCGGTGAGCAAGAAGCCTGCATTGGTGAAGGCGTCTCCAGCAGTTGGTAAGACGACAGTCGGTGTGGTTGGTGGTAAGAAGGTTGTTGGTAAGCCGGAGTCGTCTAGTTCCGACTCGGATTCTAGTGATGATGGAGATGCTGGTGTTGTGAAGAAGGGTGTTGCTGCTGTTGGTAGGCCGTTGTCGGGTGTGGGTCAGCAGACGACACCTCAGTCGTCAGTGCAGAAGAAGAAGGTGGGAGCGGTGGCGTCGAGTTCGGACTCAGACTCTAGTGAGGATGAGCAGCCGGTGAGCAAGAAGCCTGCATTGGTGAAGGCGTCTCCAGCAGTTGGTAAGACGACAGTCGGTGTGGTTGGTGGTAAGAAGGTTGTTGGTAAGCCGGAGTCGTCTAGTTCCGACTCGGATTCTAGTGATGATGGAGATGCTGGTGTTGTGAAGAAGGGTGTTGCTGCTGTTGGTAGGCCGTTGTCGGGTGTGGGTCAGCAGACGACACCTCAGTCGTCAGTGCAGAAGAAGAAGGTGGGAGCGGTGGCGTCGAGTTCGGACTCAGACTCTAGTGAGGATGAGCAGCCGGTGAGCAAGAAGCCTGCATTGGTGAAGGCGTCTCCAGCAGTTGGTAAGACGACAGTCGGTGTGGTTGGTGGTAAGAAGGTTGTTGGTAAGCCGGAGTCGTCTAGTTCCGACTCGGATTCTAGTGATGATGGAGATGCTGGTGTTGTGAAGAAGGGTGTTGCTGCTGTTGGTAGGCCGTTGTCGGGTGTGGGTCAGCAGACGACACCTCAGTCGTCAGTGCAGAAGAAGAAGGTGGGAGCGGTGGCGTCGAGTTCGGACTCAGACTCTAGTGAGGATGAGCAGCCGGTGAGCAAGAAGCCTGCATTGGTGAAGGCGTCTCCAGCAGTTGGTAAGACGACAGTCGGTGTGGTTGGTGGTAAGAAGGTTGTTGGTAAGCCGGAGTCGTCTAGTTCCGACTCGGATTCTAGTGATGATGGAGATGCTGGTGTTGTGAAGAAGGGTGTTGCTGCTGTTGGTAGGCCGTTGTCGGGTGTGGGTCAGCAGACGACACCTCAGTCGTCAGTGCAGAAGAAGAAGGTGGGAGCGGTGGCGTCGAGTTCGGACTCAGACTCTAGTGAGGATGAGCAGCCGGTGAGCAAGAAGCCTGCATTGGTGAAGGCGTCTCCAGCAGTTGGTAAGACGACAGTCGGTGTGGTTGGTGGTAAGAAGGTTGTTGGTAAGCCGGAGTCGTCTAGTTCCGACTCGGATTCTAGTGATGATGGAGATGCTGGTGTTGTGAAGAAGGGTGTTGCTGCTGTTGGTAGGCCGTTGTCGGGTGTGGGTCAGCAGACGACACCTCAGTCGTCAGTGCAGAAGAAGAAGGTGGGAGCGGTGGCGTCGAGTTCGGACTCAGACTCTAGTGAGGATGAGCAGCCGGTGAGCAAGAAGCCTGCATTGGTGAAGGCGTCTCCAGCAGTTGGTAAGACGACAGTCGGTGTGGTTGGTGGTAAGAAGGTTGTTGGTAAGCCGGAGTCGTCTAGTTCCGACTCGGATTCTAGTGATGATGGAGATGCTGGTGTTGTGAAGAAGGGTGTTGCTGCTGTTGGTAGGCCGTTGTCGGGTGTGGGTCAGCAGACGACACCTCAGTCGTCAGTGCAGAAGAAGAAGGTGGGAGCGGTGGCGTCGAGTTCGGACTCAGACTCTAGTGAGGATGAGCAGCCGGTGAGCAAGAAGCCTGCATTGGTGAAGGCGTCTCCAGCAGTTGGTAAGACGACAGTCGGTGTGGTTGGTGGTAAGAAGGTTGTTGGTAAGCCGGAGTCGTCTAGTTCCGACTCGGATTCTAGTGATGATGGAGATGCTGGTGTTGTGAAGAAGGGTGTTGCTGCTGTTGGTAGGCCGTTGTCGGGTGTGGGTCAGCAGACGACACCTCAGTCGTCAGTGCAGAAGAAGAAGGTGGGAGCGGTGGCGTCGAGTTCGGACTCAGACTCTAGTGAGGATGAGCAGCCGGTGAGCAAGAAGCCTGCATTGGTGAAGGCGTCTCCAGCAGTTGGTAAGACGACAGTCGGTGTGGTTGGTGGTAAGAAGGTTGTTGGTAAGCCGGAGTCGTCTAGTTCCGACTCGGATTCTAGTGATGATGGAGATGCTGGTGTTGTGAAGAAGGGTGTTGCTGCTGTTGGTAGGCCGTTGTCGGGTGTGGGTCAGCAGACGACACCTCAGTCGTCAGTGCAGAAGAAGAAGGTGGGAGCGGTGGCGTCGAGTTCGGACTCAGACTCTAGTGAGGATGAGCAGCCGGTGAGCAAGAAGTCTGCATTGGTGAAGGCGTCTCCAGCAGTTGGTAAGACGACAGTCGGTGTGGTTGGTGGTAAGAAGGTTGTTGGTAAGCCGGAGTCGTCTAGTTCCGACTCGGATTCTAGTGATGATGGAGATGCTGGTGTTGTGAAGAAGGGTGTTGCTGCTGTTGGTAGGCCGTTGTCGGGTGTGGGTCAGCAGACGACACCTCAGTCGTCAGTGCAGAAGAAGAAGGTGGGAGCGGTGGCGTCGAGTTCGGACTCAGACTCTAGTGAGGATGAGCAGCCGGTGAGCAAGAAGCCTGCATTGGTGAAGGCGTCTCCAGCAGTTGGTAAGACGACAGTCGGTGTGGTTGGTGGTAAGAAGGTTGTTGGTAAGCCGGAGTCGTCTAGTTCCGACTCGGATTCTAGTGATGATGGAGATGCTGGTGTTGTGAAGAAGGGTGTTGCTGCTGTTGGTAGGCCGTTGTCGGGTGTGGGTCAGCAGACGACACCTCAGTCGTCAGTGCAGAAGAAGAAGGTGGGAGCGGTGGCGTCGAGTTCGGACTCAGACTCTAGTGAGGATGAGCAGCCGGTGAGCAAGAAGCCTGCATTGGTGAAGGCGTCTCCAGCAGTTGGTAAGACGACAGTCGGTGTGGTTGGTGGTAAGAAGGTTGTTGGTAAGCCGGAGTCGTCTAGTTCCGACTCGGATTCTAGTGATGATGGAGATGCTGGTGTTGTGAAGAAGGGTGTTGCTGCTGTTGGTAGGCCGTTGTCGGGTGTGGGTCAGCAGACGACACCTCAGTCGTCAGTGCAGAAGAAGAAGGTGGGAGCGGTGGCGTCGAGTTCGGACTCAGACTCTAGTGAGGATGAGCAGCCGGTGAGCAAGAAGCCTGCATTGGTGAAGGCGTCTCCAGCAGTTGGTAAGACGACAGTCGGTGTGGTTGGTGGTAAGAAGGTTGTTGGTAAGCCGGAGTCGTCTAGTTCCGACTCGGATTCTAGTGATGATGGAGATGCTGGTGTTGTGAAGAAGGGTGTTGCTGCTGTTGGTAGGCCGTTGTCGGGTGTGGGTCAGCAGACGACACCTCAGTCGTCAGTGCAGAAGAAGAAGGTGGGAGCGGTGGCGTCGAGTTCGGACTCAGACTCTAGTGAGGATGAGCAGCCGGTGAGCAAGAAGCCTGCATTGGTGAAGGCGTCTCCAGCAGTTGGTAAGACGACAGTCGGTGTGGTTGGTGGTAAGAAGGTTGTTGGTAAGCCGGAGTCGTCTAGTTCCGACTCGGATTCTAGTGATGATGGAGATGCTGGTGTTGTGAAGAAGGGTGTTGCTGCTGTTGGTAGGCCGTTGTCGGGTGTGGGTCAGCAGACGACACCTCAGTCGTCAGTGCAGAAGAAGAAGGTGGGAGCGGTGGCGTCGAGTTCGGACTCAGACTCTAGTGAGGATGAGCAGCCGGTGAGCAAGAAGCCTGCATTGGTGAAGGCGTCTCCAGCAGTTGGTAAGACGACAGTCGGTGTGGTTGGTGGTAAGAAGGTTGTTGGTAAGCCGGAGTCGTCTAGTTCCGACTCGGATTCTAGTGATGATGGAGATGCTGGTGTTGTGAAGAAGGGTGTTGCTGCTGTTGGTAGGCCGTTGTCGGGTGTGGGTCAGCAGACGACACCTCAGTCGTCAGTGCAGAAGAAGAAGGTGGGAGCGGTGGCGTCGAGTTCGGACTCAGACTCTAGTGAGGATGAGCAGCCGGTGAGCAAGAAGCCTGCATTGGTGAAGGCGTCTCCAGCAGTTGGTAAGACGACAGTCGGTGTGGTTGGTGGTAAGAAGGTTGTTGGTAAGCCGGAGTCGTCTAGTTCCGACTCGGATTCTAGTGATGATGGAGATGCTGGTGTTGTGAAGAAGGGTGTTGCTGCTGTTGGTAGGCCGTTGTCGGGTGTGGGTCAGCAGACGACACCTCAGTCGTCAGTGCAGAAGAAGAAGGTGGGAGCGGTGGCGTCGAGTTCGGACTCAGACTCTAGTGAGGATGAGCAGCCGGTGAGCAAGAAGCCTGCATTGGTGAAGGCGTCTCCAGCAGTTGGTAAGACGACAGTCGGTGTGGTTGGTGGTAAGAAGGTTGTTGGTAAGCCGGAGTCGTCTAGTTCCGACTCGGATTCTAGTGATGATGGAGATGCTGGTGTTGTGAAGAAGGGTGTTGCTGCTGTTGGTAGGCCGTTGTCGGGTGTGGGTCAGCAGACGACACCTCAGTCGTCAGTGCAGAAGAAGAAGGTGGGAGCGGTGGCGTCGAGTTCGGACTCAGACTCTAGTGAGGATGAGCAGCCGGTGAGCAAGAAGCCTGCATTGGTGAAGGCGTCTCCAGCAGTTGGTAAGACGACAGTCGGTGTGGTTGGTGGTAAGAAGGTTGTTGGTAAGCCGGAGTCGTCTAGTTCCGACTCGGATTCTAGTGATGATGGAGATGCTGGTGTTGTGAAGAAGGGTGTTGCTGCTGTTGGTAGGCCGTTGTCGGGTGTGGGTCAGCAGACGACACCTCAGTCGTCAGTGCAGAAGAAGAAGGTGGGAGCGGTGGCGTCGAGTTCGGACTCAGACTCTAGTGAGGATGAGCAGCCGGTGAGCAAGAAGCCTGCATTGGTGAAGGCGTCTCCAGCAGTTGGTAAGACGACAGTCGGTGTGGTTGGTGGTAAGAAGGTTGTTGGTAAGCCGGAGTCGTCTAGTTCCGACTCGGATTCTAGTGATGATGGAGATGCTGGTGTTGTGAAGAAGGGTGTTGCTGCTGTTGGTAGGCCGTTGTCGGGTGTGGGTCAGCAGACGACACCTCAGTCGTCAGTGCAGAAGAAGAAGGTGGGAGCGGTGGCGTCGAGTTCGGACTCAGACTCTAGTGAGGATGAGCAGCCGGTGAGCAAGAAGCCTGCATTGGTGAAGGCGTCTCCAGCAGTTGGTAAGACGACAGTCGGTGTGGTTGGTGGTAAGAAGGTTGTTGGTAAGCCGGAGTCGTCTAGTTCCGACTCGGATTCTAGTGATGATGGAGATGCTGGTGTTGTGAAGAAGGGTGTTGCTGCTGTTGGTAGGCCGTTGTCGGGTGTGGGTCAGCAGACGACACCTCAGTCGTCAGTGCAGAAGAAGAAGGTGGGAGCGGTGGCGTCGAGTTCGGACTCAGACTCTAGTGAGGATGAGCAGCCGGTGAGCAAGAAGCCTGCATTGGTGAAGGCGTCTCCAGCAGTTGGTAAGACGACAGTCGGTGTGGTTGGTGGTAAGAAGGTTGTTGGTAAGCCGGAGTCGTCTAGTTCCGACTCGGATTCTAGTGATGATGGAGATGCTGGTGTTGTGAAGAAGGGTGTTGCTGCTGTTGGTAGGCCGTTGTCGGGTGTGGGTCAGCAGACGACACCTCAGTCGTCAGTGCAGAAGAAGAAGGTGGGAGCGGTGGCGTCGAGTTCGGACTCAGACTCTAGTGAGGATGAGCAGCCGGTGAGCAAGAAGCCTGCATTGGTGAAGGCGTCTCCAGCAGTTGGTAAGACGACAGTCGGTGTGGTTGGTGGTAAGAAGGTTGTTGGTAAGCCGGAGTCGTCTAGTTCCGACTCGGATTCTAGTGATGATGGAGATGCTGGTGTTGTGAAGAAGGGTGTTGCTGCTGTTGGTAGGCCGTTGTCGGGTGTGGGTCAGCAGACGACACCTCAGTCGTCAGTGCAGAAGAAGAAGGTGGGAGCGGTGGCGTCGAGTTCGGACTCAGACTCTGGTGCTGATGATCAGGTGTTGAGGCAGGTTGCGGTGGTTGCTGGGGATGGTGTTGTTGGTGCTAAATCCTGGGGGTTTGGGTGTGGTAGTGGTGCATATAATAATGATGTTGGTTTGGTGTCGTCTTGTGGTAGTGAGCCGATGGTTGTTAAGAATTTTCGTAAGCGGACGTTTTCCTATGTGGGAAGTGTGGAGAAGTGTTGTGTTTTTGGTTCGGGTTGTTCTCCAACGAATGGGGTTTCTGTTAATTCTTCGTCTAATACGCCAGATAACTTAAAGCGTTTGAATTGCGGCAATACACCTTATCGTCGTGTTCCTGAGGATGAAGTTTTTGTCCATCCCTCTCTGCGGGATAATTCATTTGACGCGAAGGTATTTCTTTCTTTGTGAAATTGTTTTGTGTTTTGTCTGTATCAGCAGTTTTGCTGTCTTTTTATATGCTCCATTTGTGTGTTATGCCTCTGATGTCGTTTTGTTTTGGAAGTTATTGTTTCAGTTTATCGTTATCATTCAGGTGATTGTTGACATTGGTTGCGATATAACCTTTCGAATTTATGGGTGTATTTACTTTCAGATGTTAGTTGGTTGGAAGTAATCGGCAGGAAGCCCTGGACCTAGGTTTCGTGCTTTTTGGCACTCGTCAGCAAGGCGTATCTTCAACCTCGACGGAACTTATGTCCCGCTTGAGATTCGATCCTGCGTCAGCCAGTGTTGTAGTCAGCGACTTTACCACTGAGCTATTCGGGCCGCGATTGACCTCCTGTGGGACTGGCTTACATGTATTGATTGGTCACGGAAGTGCAACCAATTTCATGTTGTCTAGTTTCTTTCATAATGAACTGTCATTTATACAAACTAAAGGAACTTTGAACCGTATCAGTAAATCAGCACACTTTAGAAAGTTTATATCGACGAAGAAATCTACTATTGACACCAGACGATATCGACTGGAAAAGTTCCAATTTTAGGTTCAGGGAACTTGAAGTGGCGAATCACCAGTAAAAGATGTTAGAGTGTTGAATAAGTAAATGCTCATTGGTCATGTAACGATTATAGGTTAAATGTATCTGTTACTTCATCGTCATATATACCCATCCTTTTTTTTGCTTTCCTTCGTAAAGTAAAGCAATGGCGAGTGCATTTCCAGTCATCTTTTGTGAATGCGACCTAATTAGCGTACCACAGTCGCACATGTAATTGAACCCGTCATATAGGCGATATACAGAGCAGATTTACAGAATTACAGAGTTTACTGTATCGTTGAATGCTCATCCACTCATGAGCAAGTAAACTTGTTAGCCAGAGGTTGCTACCACATGACCTCATGTTCAGGTATCACATTTTGTAAACTAGCCCTCATGCATACATTAGCGCAAGGTGATAAGATTGTATAGATGGTAGATTATTGTAAAACACCTGTGAAAAGTGATGTATAACAAACTAAGCAATGAGTGAATGCTAGATGCATTTGAAAAAACAAAAGCAAGGTTCTCAGCGAACCATCAGCTTAATAAAGCAATATGATTTGAACTTAGCCATTGAGGAAAAGTGAATTCACGTGTTTCATCGGCTTTGGCATTCGCCATCCGCATATATTTCTTGGGACAGATCTTAACTGCTTGTGAACATTTATTTTTCATTTTCATATTTTCATATATTTCGATTTTTATGTTTTTCGCTTAATTATATATCACGAGTTCAGCTAGATAGAGTTTCAACTATGTTAAGTTTATGGAGCTCTGGTGCACCAGAGGATTTATAAGAACCTCACGACAATCATGCGTATAAGTTTCGAATATTGGCAGTTTTAAACCCGTACAGTGACTATTCAGCTATCCTAAGGTCTTTCAGGTCATCATCAAAATATGTTTGTCCTGTATTTTTTCGGTAGCCATCGATATTGTTGTTTTGAGCTGAGTTTGAATGGAAATGATTCCTATAATGTCTGGCAAGCTGTTGATGAATGTAGAATATGCCTATGGAATACACTTATCTGCCAACACACAATGCCTGTATTCTCTTTTTCCCCAGCAAAATGCACGAGGATCCTGGGGTGAAAGAGCAAATCGTGATTTCAAGTTTACCAGTGGTAAAGTGTTCAAACAGGAGAAGACAAAAAGAAGAGAGGATCATATGTTGGAGGTTCACTCTCCTTGGATGCTTGTTCCTTTAAATTTGATGAGTAAACACTATAGAGAACACTTATTTGCCTGTAAATATATTTTTGCTTATACGCAATTTGTACATAAGGGGAGAATATTAAAAAGGTTTCGTAGTGTAATAGTTCTCGTCACTTTTTGATCATTGTTCACATAATGTCACATAACGTTCACTTGTATTTGTATAGTTTAACGAACTGCAATAACTTTTGCGCTGGTTAGGTTAGGTATCGTATATTTCTGTATTCTCAGTCTGCTTACCTATTTTCAAGTTAACAACTGATACAAATCCTAGTACACACATTCCTTGTAGTTATCGAGTGATATATTTATATGCTATATATTTGAGTAAGTCTGCTATAATTTTAGAGGAAGGCAGCCCTAGTGTTTTGTCTTAGTGTCATTTCATGAAAATGAATAAGACGGCCTACTCGTCGAATAAGTTAGGTATTCTTTCATCTTTTGTTGATTGCTTTGATATTGTTTCACTTAGATGGATGGGTTTTTTAATGTAATGTGGACAATTGTAATTTTTATAACAATCTGAATCAGCTATCTGAAAACAGTAGTGACCTTATTGTGGACTGGTTTAATGATTAAACTTTCGGTGTTTGACTGTAATTTGCTTGAAAAACTGGGATCGTTTCCTTTTCTGTTTTACAGAAATAAATAAAAATAAGATACGTTGGGATACATTTTTCATTTTCTACACATTAATTGATTGAACGTATGTTTTCATATGCTATCCCAAAACATCAATGACAGTTGTGGCTGATTAGTTCCTTCACTTACTGCCAGCTATAAAGATAAATTGTAAAATTCAATTTGTTAGTTTTGATCACTTAAAACACCTATAGATGAAATGTCTGTGTAAATTCCCAATGAGGTAGAAAAATAAATTTTGTGGAATTCACTTCATTAGAGAGTAAAACCTGTACAAGTTATTGAGTGTTTAGTCCATTTACCCAGTGCTCAGCTTGTCTAACTTTATCAGGTCAAATTCTGATCCTGAAGTTTATAAACTCACAATACCTGTTTTCAAAGCATATTTTTGGTTGAGTTTAAGCCATGTGTGAGGTCAGGTCAAGCTGGAATACTTAATTGTTTTCCTTAGGCAAATTTCTTTTCAGTCTACGTTGTCATATAAAGAACAACTGGTTCCAAGATACGTTTTGGTGTAAGGTATCTGAAGGTTCGGTTGTGCCTATCTATTCATTAAGGATGGAAATATATAGGGATTGTAGGTTCATACCTGACTAAACACAGTTGAATGTACTTATTGTAAGCGAATGCGTTAAATTCGTTGCATTTAAATGGTTATTTACTGGTGATGATCTAGTTACTTAACAGATCCTGATGTATTACTGTTTTATTCTACTACACAGTTGTGAGACATTTGACCATTGTCTTTCTGATGGTATTGATCGAGTTTGGTTGGATCAATAGTATAGGTGTAGTTGAAATTAATTACGAGGTTTTCGAGTGAATCGATTGGTGAGTGAAACTTAACTGTGAGGGTAGGAATCTTTATGGATACTATGGGCTTCTTTAGTATTATCTTTGAAAAGCAGAGAATAAACATGATTAACAGAGTTTTGCCATTAATATCTTTACTTTGGTTAGTGATTCTGATGTTACTCCTCGACTTTCTCCTCTGGCGATTTTTTCATTTCTCTAGATTACTTTGTGGTGATGAAATGTGAGGTTACTTTTACATTAAGTCTTCCGTATTCATAGAAGGAGATTTCATACTGATGCATACATGTTTCTTCATAAGCTCAAAAGGTAGTTGGATACCGAAGTAATTTTTTCCGCTTTTGTTACATTTATATTTAATGCACATTCCGTGTATTATGTTACGTAATTAATTGAGGTTGGGCACAGAGTACTAGGTGGAAAACGCAAGTCAGTTGATGAGTTGTGTACCTTCACTGACTGGTATCTCTGCGATATTTGTGGCACATTTTGATGCGGAATCCGTTAGATGTAAACTGAAATAACAAATGATGCGAAGACGGTGGAGGTTACCCAAATCGAGATACCACATCAATCCACGGAATGTATGGCTGTCAATATGAACCTTATAGAGAGCTATAGATTGCTTGGTTGGTTTCATGGGTATAAGAATCGATGGTTGGACACCGCAATGCAGTTTGATGCAAATATGTATGTTCTGTCATCTTCGAAATTTCAACACTTGCTTACCAATAATGGTTAATTCACATTCCGATAGTGCGAAATTGAATGCACTCAGAAACCAAGTACACGTTCGTGCGAGCGACAATAAAACATCTATTGTATATAAAGTAAGTATAATGCTTGATTCCTCAAGCCTTGGTCGGTGGAGCTGAGCTGGAACTCGCAACTCAATGGTAGCAAATCAAGTGCCTGGACCAGTGAGCTACAACTTCCTCTCCTATACGCCTTTGTCTCCTTTGATATCAGTCTTTTCTATTCACTTGTTCTCTGTGTTCTACTGTGAAGTGTGGCAACTTGAACCGATGCACTTGTGTGGCTATTTCTACGTTGATTTTGGCTGTCTGTCTGCACTTACTTTACGAGCTGACGTTTCAGACATCTCACTCAGTAGCAGTCAATGTGTTACATTCCTCCATATACTTGATTTAACCTCTGAGTTATTAACTGGTTTGAGCATTTGCTTATCAACCGAAACTCAGCTCCTAATTCTACGTAAGCAGCTTAGCTACATTGTTAACCTTTACTGATTTGATTTATAACCTGTTGGATAAACGGGCAAAACGTGTGTGTATGGCAATCGTTCACCGATTAAGACTCACCTGGGAACCACCAGTAAACCACGTTTTTCAACTTCGCTTCATCTATCAGCCACTTCGAGAGAAAGAGAGGATCAAGACTTACTCGTTAAGCTCGCTCACATTCGTGCAGTGACCATGATCCACGCCTATTGTGCTAGGGCTATTGATGCTATCTGACTGCGGAAACCTCGGTAAATGAAACGGTGTTCGTACCTGTGACCTACTTTTTGAAAGCCAATAACCCACAACTCCACACAGTTAGTCTTTGTAGTTGTGTGGTTCCATTACGTAGTAAGTAATAACGTAGATAGTTGTCTGATTCCATTACTGATTTTTACCGAAGACAGCTTTGCATAGTTGTTACTTAACCTCGCCTAGTTTACTAGTTCACTAGTTACTAGCCTGGATAAGGAGGGAGGGTTGGGCATAGGGCTGGCGACCCTACCCTGTAAAACCAATCCAATCGCTATAGAAACTTCAGCGCACAAAAAAACTTATTCCTTGCTAGGATCGAGGAGAGGAAATGGCGCCAGTTAGTGAAAGCCTTCGGAAAGCCCATTGGCCTATGTGTCTTCTCTCGATAAAAGCAAAGGTAAGCATAGGGATATGGAATGTCCGCACAAAGTTTGAAGCTGGCTGGCAAGGCTGCCCAGATTGCCAAAGAGATGAGAAGATGTAACATAGAAGTGCTAAGAATCCGCGAGAGCAGATGGAATGGAAGTGGACTCCAAACTGTCAACTGTAGAGTCAATAATCCACTCGGCTATTGTCAACCAGACAACACGACAACCACGAGCACACTGAGTTTTTGAATGGCTATCATGATGTCCCCAACAGCATCGAAGGCTCTCATACAGTGGGAACCAATCTCCTCAAGGATCATAACAGCAAGATTCAAGTCAAAAGGAAGGAAAGTCATAACCATTCAATGCTACGCTACGCACCTACAAATAATGCAGATGAAGAGAAGGAGGAGGAATTCTACAGATAACTGCAATCAGTAATGGACAAGAACCCACATGGTGACAGTTAAATTAGAATTCTAATGGGTGACATGAATGCCAAACTGGGTGCGGAGAACACAAGAAGAGAACTGATCACGAGTCGAGAAGCACTCGGTGAAATGAACGCGAATGGATAATGGTTTGCAGACTTCTGCACATTTAATGATTTGTTGATTGGAGGCAGTGTGTACAAACACTAAGATATTCACAAAGCGACATGAACTTCACCAGATAGACACACTAAAAGTCAGATCGGTTTCATTTCAATGTGAAGAAAGTGGAGACGCAGCCCACTGGACACAAGATCAGGTGGAGAAGGGGAGCAGATGTAGGTTCAGACCACTCACTGTCTAGGGTAAGGAACCTTCAAAATCAAGTTGAGAGCTTTCGAAGAAGTTGGTGATAGACCACAGTTCAAGTTCAACACCCAGAAGCTGAAGTGAACGACAAAATTTCAAAAGACATTTTCACGTCAGCCAGTCATCAAGACAAAATGGGAGATACTGCGCAACATTGCTGAAGAGACCTCCGTGGAGAATACTGGGACTATTTGAAAGAGACGTGGAGGGAAACCTGCACAGCCGTGTTGGGAAGGAAGAAGAAGAAAGACAATGAGTGGAATGGATCTCGACGGACACATGGAAGCTGATGGAGGAGGGAGAGGAAGATGGTGATGGTGAAGCAGAAGATGAACCAGTGCAGTACAGTGCACTGATGAACAACGAAAAGAGGAACTGAGTACAGCGTATAAAACACTGGACAAAGAAGTGAAGCGGAGTGCGTGCAAAGGAAAAAGACACTTCTACGACACATTTGCAAGTGAAGTAGAACAGACTGCAGGTAGGAGAGACTTGACAACATTCTATCAAATAACCAGGTTACTATCTGGAAGGGTAGATTGTTTATTTGACGTTTCATCCAGTGAAACATTATTGTTCACTAAATGACTTTTAGAAGGGAATTTATTGTTCACTCCTATAAAAAGGGTAGGGCACTGTTACTTGCCATGTTACTGAACGTCTTATGGGAATGATGCTTACACAACTTCCAGAGCTTTTTGATTAATCTTCACTATTCATTCCAATTTTTTTTGGTCAGTGTGCTATTTACTGTAACTATGTAAGACACTAGGTAAACTGAAATTTCTGTGCATTCACAGTTGTATAGCTTTGTGAATGAAGTAGACGAAAAGGTTTTCTATTCTGGTTACTTGCTTGTTTTGTTTTATGGTGGGTTTTTTCATACATAATTGATTGAACGTTTTCATTGTTTCCCTACGATATATATTCCTTAAATTTTTTCTATCTAATGTACAATTTGAGTTCATTGACGTTCAGGCTTTCCTAGATATCTCATGCTTCAAGCCGAAGAGTAAATATTTAGATTTTATTCTGGAAATTAGAAACAAATAAGGCTGAGTTAAATGTTGGAAAATTAGGGACCTTTTGCCAAAACCCTCGGTGGAGAATTCAAATGGCAGTTTTCGGTTGGATTTAAAAGTCACAAGAATTTGCCTAAATGTGTGATGAGTAATTTTGTATTGCTTAAGATGTCTCAATCCAATCAACAAAAGAAATCGTCAAATTAATCAAACGAGTTATTCTCTGGAATGAAGCTAACATTGAAGCTCAACAGGCAGCGTCTTGTTAACTAGTCTTGTTCTCTGAAAATCCTAGTTGGTCGGAAGTGACTTTTCACAAGGTAATTATCAGTTTCTGTCCTGAGAAATACCTACATACATGGTTAGTATCTTACCTCTTTTCATATGCAAATATTCAGTTTCCTATGACCTTGGGGAGTCGAATATTCAGATTACTGTTGGAACTGGCTAGTTTTCTAGTCCGTCAGTGGAATCTTATTTTGAATCAACTCCTGGTGCTGGGTCTATGCATTTCAAATTGTTAATAACTTCAACAAGGGAAGGGTTTATTGATTTGTGGAAATTAACATATTGGTGGCTGTACATCAAGCCTGAGATAAGAAGTTGGACTGTGATTGTTATCCCACTCCCCAATATTTATTGTTTGATATCTTAGTTGAAGCTTTAACTGAAATTTCATTTCAACCTTCTTTATCTTCATACCAAAAGTTTGTTGGAATATGTTAAACTAAAACTTGGAGACTACAGTAGAGTATAATTCCAGACCACATCATTTTAATTGACATAGCACGCGGTAATAAGTATTATTCATTGGAGGACGTTTTGAACAGAATTCATTGCTCATATTCATAT